AAGTTTTTATTGCTGGGTTGAATTCATATGATGCCGTGTGAATTCGGCTGCTAAACAAAATTTTTAACCACAGCTGTTGCTCCTAATCTCTGTGGTGTTTGTTCTGAGACCTCACCCTGACTGTGATTGGTCTAAATATCACATGGTTGTGTGTGTCAGTGCATGAAGTGGGCCTCTAACTGTGTTGCGTCTAAAAGATGTACACCGAGTCTGTAAATGCTTTTACGACAACGTGTTCAGTGATGGTTCATTTTTGTTTAGTTGCTAAGAAGTAATAGAAACTTATAACTACTAAACATTATGCCTAAATAATTACACACTTGCTTCAAACCACACCAAGTTGATAAGCATTTCTATTTGAGATTGCTCATGTGGTTTCTGACTGTGAATGACATTACACAATTGTTACGTTATAGTAGTAGTAGCCAACTTGAAGCTTGAAATGTGTACTTTGGAGGCTACATTAGCCTTGTCGCTCTGGTTCTAAACTAAAGAAACAAAGACAGACACCAAAGATGTGATGGGTGATTGACTACATTTGTAGTAAAAATTAGATTTTTTGCCAGACTTTCACTTTCAAGCTCATTCTAGCATTTGAAGTAACTTGTACTTGGGCTGGTGTGCCAAAGCTAGTTCTGTGAGACTTTACATTTGTGTGGGATTATTTCACAGTGTTTATCCTGGACAAGATAAGGATTACTAAGTAATTTTATCTCCCCTTCCCCCACAGTGTACCTGCGGAAGCTCTCTGATGACGAGTGTCCGCTGTACTTGCGCCTGTGTGCTGGTCCCAATGAGAAAGTGCTGAGCCTGGTGCTGAAAGAGAATGAGACTGGAGAGGTCAATGTGAGTATCTCACTGTTCAGGGAAAACACTGGCATCTTACATTGCACTCACACAATAACAGCTCTGCTGGTATGTTATCACCTCTCACTATAGCTTTCCAGTTTCCATTGCATACAGGTTCTCCCTTAGTGTGTTGAGATTTCAAGTTAATAAATTTGTTTTTTATGGTCAGACTGTAGTCTCATTTGTTTGCATGTCCACACTGTTGTGTGTAGATGTTGATGTGTGTTGTTACCTAAGGACTATGTTTATATTGACATGTATAAATCTTTAATGAAGCAGTAAAACTAGTAGCAAAACAGCCTGTTTAATTCTAAGGGATGAAAAAGTTTGGAAAACGGTCATGGAAAAATGGGTTATGACCAAGTTTGGTACATAAAACCACACAAATATTTTAAGTGGACCTCGAGGGGAAACAATAATGATTATAAATAGATAAATAAATAAATAAATAAAGGATTGGTTATACTGGGGGTTATATTGGCACCCTAACTGAGGAAGACCTGAGCATGTAGAAGTAATTCCAATATTTTAATAAATGATTGTTAACTGCTTGTTTTATTCTCTCCCCTACCAGTGGGATGCATTCTCAATGCCAGAGCTGCAGAACTTTCTGCGCATTCTGAAGCGAGAGGAAGAGGAGCATGTGAAGCAGATCATGCAGCGCTACACTCTCGCTCGCGAACGCATTCGGGAGGCCCTGGTCGGCTCCAACCCTGGTTGAGATCTGCCCTGAGCCTGCACTACTGACGAGTGGCCACTAGGGTGCCTCAGTCTCCGCTGCGTCCAAAGATCCCTAAGGACTGGCATCAGTGTGATGACAAGGAGTGAGAGTGAACAAACGAACGAGTGCGAACGAGTGTGTAAGCGCGAAGCGGCAAGCAGATGTGCGTACATGGAGAGAGAATGAGCTGCGGCTGAGAGCGAGCGAACTGGGAAATGGACGAGTGAAAATAGAACAGACTTGTGAATGATGTGTGATTGAACGAGTGAGAGTAGAGAGTCTTGCAGAAAGAGCGTTCTTTTTGTGTGGAGTGAGCACAGGGCTCGTTACCTGTGGACTTTTAGTTACTGTTATCTTTTTGGTTAGCCCATGCTGGGTTTTCATTGAAACTGTTTATTTCCATTTTCAGGGTTTGCTTCTGGAACACTGAACACAACCAAACTGGAAATAAGGTTCTTAATTCATGTTTAGATGATCATTTCTACAGTGGTATCTTTCACACGTGCACACAAACACAGACACACACACACACACTTTTTTACTTTACCTCTTGTTACTTATCTGCAGTCATTCTGTCTATTGTATGTCTTTATATATGTCATTTCTTTGTCTAATCAAAACTTCTTACATTTCCTCTTATGCACAATCATGTCACTGCCTCTGGGGAAAATATCTTTTTGCACAATAAATTGATTTTTTTTTCTTTCAACATTGCCAGTGTCTGTTCTTGAATGTAAGGTCTTATTTTAGCTGACATAGTGAATTCTGAAACCAGACATTTTGCCTTAAAGAGTCTGTATCACTAAAAACTTGTTTTCCTTGCTTTTACTTAACTAAGAGTTTAATGTAATGTGTAAGCCTTGTTGAAGATTTACTTCAGAGACCTTTCACTTCAGTTCTTACAGTGTGTGTATATGTAGAAACTAATCTGCAAAAACAGTTTATTTTGAACTAATTGTTTTCATAATGTCCGGAAAACCAAATCACTTACATTTTATCAGCCTATTGAGATTAAAACAGTTTAGCTTCGCTCTTCTCACATAATGCTATAGTTCTAAACGTTCAGCCTGGATGAGGCAAAATACAGGGTAGCCAATTAGAACAGAGAGCATTTACATACACCAATGTTAAAAGCACAACAAAAACAGGCTGTTTAAAGTATAAAGAGAGGTATAGAAATGAATGACTACTGTGTCGGTACATAAAATCTCAGAAATGTTATAAGAGCTTCAAGAGGAAAAATAAAATACAAGAAAATTAAAGGATGGGAACCTTTTGATTTATTACAGTGGTTCTCAGCTCTTGTCCTGAACTGCCACTGCTGTGCATGTTGTGTTTTCTGCTTTCTCACTCAACCACTTCAACTTAGGAACTCGCTTATTAATTTATTTTTGAAGTTTCTGCATATTTAAGCCATCAGGATGTTAAAATCATTCAGATTGGTTTGATGCGAAATGCTCCATTCTAGACAAGGTTGAGTTGGAGTTGTCAGAATTGTGGTGATAGAAATGAGGCATTTCAATGCCTTTAAAAGCTAATTTGCTTTAAGTTTTTACTTGAAATGGTTCTGTATGTTTCCTGATGCCTGGGATTTTGGTTTATGATCATTTTGAGATAATTATTGATTAAAATGTATATATTTTAATCAATTCATGGTGGAGAGGAAGATGCAGTGTGCAATAAGGCAAAAAGAAAACCAGGTCCCAAAGAAAACTTACCCCAGATTTAACACCGTCTTAGTATTACTGGCAGAGCAGAGGATGTGTGGGTTCACTGGTCATTTTGGGTAATAAATAAACTGGTTATATTTTGACACTGTCAGAACTAAACCTCTCCAGACTTGTAACATCAGGAGAAAGAAAAAGCCTCGAGTCTGAATCAAAGTTAATGGAACTAGATTCTTTTTTCAAGTAATTTTGGAGCATTTCTGTTGATTATCCTCCTGGGTTGCAGGGGTTGCTGAAGCCTATACCAGTGGTCATTGGGCAGAAGGCAGGAAACACCCTGGACAGGTTGCCAGTCCATCACAGGGCAGACAGACACTCACACCTAGGGGTGATTTAGCATTTCCAGTTGGCCTGACTGCGTGTCTTTGGAATGTGGGAGGGAACCGGATCTGTCGATCATAAAATCTTGAAATTTTAGCACAAAATAATGTGTCAAAATTCTAAAAAAAACGGGGATTGAAGGTTTTGTCGCAGCACTGTAAGTTTCTGTTGTGCACATTCCAACTCCTAGTTCCTATCACCACCACTGTATAGAAAATCTGCATCAGTAAATGTTTCAATGCACCATTTTTATGCTAACCACTCTGAATAACTTTATATCTAAGTGATTGAACTATCCTAACATTGTGAAATAGTCAAAAAAGGAATTCCCCTTTAATTAATTTGTGTATTGGGAGCAGTTATCCAGTCTTCCACCAGATGGTGGTAGTGCTCCCTGTAAGATAGTTGCACCAATAGATGGCAACATAGAACTAAGCAATATTACACATAAGGTACTGTGGATTATGATGTTCCCAAAATTCATAGGTGGTAGATGGTAAAGCATTTCCAAAACAAAGTATAGCAAATATTTATTTCCTGTGCAGCGGTGTCCAGAGGATTCTGATGAGCTCAAATCAGACGTCTTCAGATTTTTGTTTTATTGTTAATGAAGAATTACCGTGCTTTCACATGAACTAATCTGAACCTTATTATTTTAGTATGTGTGTTAATAATGATAAATACTAAACTTCTGCCTGAAAGATCCTTAAATGTTCCATGTGGAGGGACTTATCAAAGAACACAGATGCCTAAACCATACCATGAACTACAAAATAGACAAATCATCTGAAGTAAGAGTTGGGAAATCCTTCCATTGTTGCCAATGTCAATAAAACCCCTCAGAATTAGTCTCCAACTACTGTGAAGGACCACGCAGTGGGGCTGGCTGTAGGCTGTGATTGCAGGAGGTTACAGCACATAAAACAATGTTGTCTGTTCTTCAGTCTCCCGCTGCGCTGCTTTTAATAAACCTTATTAAACCCTCCATCATCTGAGTAACTTCTGCGTTTGCTGCGTCGCCGTTTGTGGTCAAGCGGAGTCGCCAATGTGGGCGTAGAACGCAAAGCATCGACTGAAACACGCAGCAGCCCGTTGAGCACGAGCCTGCTGTAGCCCACTGGTACCATTAGTCATCCTCACTCGCTCTAGGTGGAAGAGGTGTTTTCTGTGCGGGAGCACGAGCGGATCAGACACAAGCGCAGTCAGTGAATGCAGACCGAGTTGGAGGAGGAGAGCGGAGAGCTCTCGCTCTGCGTGACCGTTTCAGCACCGCTGCGAGTGGACAGCGCAACAGCTTTACAGTTTGCGGTCGTGATTTGAAGAGCCCCCTCCCAACCCCACCACCACCACCCCCTTTCTGTTTTAATTCCCACCCAGGGGATGGAGTTGGTCGTATCGGAGCACACGGCAACTCGGCTGATGAGCCAGGCAGCGGGAAGCAGTCCACGCCGGGGTTAAGTTGATAATGCAGAGGTGGTGGACACGCCAAAAGGAGCAGGACCGAGGAAGGGTGAGTGCGAAATGGGCCAACTTTGAAATGCAACACACAGATTTATTATACATAGAGAGACAATATGCACGCATCTCGTTCCGCGAGCGTAAGCACCGCTCGTGCACACATCCCTACAGAAATGCAATTCTTCCAAAGAAAGTGGTGACGGGAAAAATGGAAAAAAAAGCTTGTATATTCTGAGTAGTGCTGAGAATTCCAGGTTTTATTGATTGTTGGAATATCGACCAAGAAGAGGTGCTGCATGGCATCGCATAGTAATATTGTTATTGATACAAATCATTTACAAGTATCCTTTCAGGGAATGCTCCTCATGACCTGCATGGAGTTTGCAAATGGCAAAAAATCATATTGAAGGGAGAAACTGTCTTATTCTGAACTAGTTTGTTGAAGCCACATCTTTAGTGCCAACAGGTTTGTCAGTGTTCCATCAAAGCAGGGGATTCAGTATAGAGTCCTATATGAAGGAGCATGGGTGTTAAGATTGATGGCTATTTGTTTAATGTATTGCACCTGCTGTTTGAAGCAGTTAAGTAATGGGCAAGTTTACATGAATTTTATGGCATGTTGATAAACAGCCCCCTTTGGACGTGGATTCCCCTAAACACATAGAGTCAACAAGGAAAAGAGAAAAGGGAAGAGAAGACACAGGTTGTGGAATTCTGAGCCTGCCAAGATGCTTTTTCAGCCTTGCAGATGCTAGAGCTGGAGGCACTTTGGAGCATATGGTTTTGATTAAGGCTCATGCTGGACAGTGAAAAATGGCTTGTGCGACCTTTTTGGTAATATTGCACTGTCACCTGATAAAAATGAATAATGAATGAAGAAATGTTAATGTCACTGATGTCAGTTATTGTACGAAATGGCTAAAGAGAAATAAGAGCCAGAAGCAGCTTTCTTTCTGCCAATCATGTTGGCAATCTAAGTAAGTGATTTTGTGGATAACTGCTTAATGTACAGTGCTGCGCCAAAGTCAGAGTCAAAGTCTTTCGTTTATTTAATTTCCGGTCAAAACGGCCATTGAGTACAATTTTCATTTTTCTGAAAGGATTAGATATAAGTTAATCCACTTGTAGAAGGAAGGGAGAGTCAAAGGAATATAAGTAAGAGTGAGTTTCCAAAACTGGAGTTTAAAAAATGATTAAAAGATACAGTGAAAATGGAACTCAACAACCATGGAAGGAGCTGGTAGACCACCAAACTGTCCCCTCAGATAAACAGTGCTTAAGGCTTTCATGTTTGAGAGAGAGGAGATAATCAAGCTCCACTCTTCCTTCAAATCTGAACAAATCAACAGGTGTTTCTGTCCATCCTTCCACTGTGAGAAGACAACTCAGCGCTATGAGTCTGAATGGATGAAGGATAAGTAGCTGTCAAGAAGCTGTTACTGAGAAAAGGAAATAGAGAAAAAAGAAGAAAATTTGTAAATTAAACAAACAAGCTGCTGGTGTTCTCAGAGCATAGGACTGATGACTGATTGAATCCAGACCTCAACATCACTGAATGTGTTTGGGATTGCGTAGATTGTGAGAAGCAGAAAATGCAACCTAAGAAGGAATTTTGGAGGTGTTGAAAATTTTCCCCCCAGATTTCTTTGAAAAACTGAAATGAAGAAGGAATGGAAGCTGTAATGAGGATGAAGTGTGGGCACACTGCATACTGAAAACATTAGTTATTGAGACATCTGTGTAATTTTCTGTTAAGTATGTTTTTTTTTACGCTTTTTTCTGGACACTGAAAAATGAATAACGTGTACTTGACGGCTGTTTTGACCGGAAATTAAATAAGAGTAGTCTCTGCCCTTAGCACAGTATACTGTACAAAGAGAAAACCACATCAATACTATCAGATCGCTTCTCCATTAGAAAGAAACGTTCAGACAAAGATTGAATTAATTACAATAATAAAAAAGAAAACTATATTTTCTTTATTTTTTTACTATTGTTTTTCTGAAGAGTGACTTTGTTTAACCCCTTAAATGGCCAGGGCTCAAAGTTTTATTACACACTTCTATAACATAAGAATAGCTCAGTCAGTTTGCATTGAAGTCCCTGTAGTTACTGAATAGTACACCTGTATGTAATAAGTCTGGGATTTTAAGGGGTTAAACACAATTTATTGTAGAGAAAAGACAGAAATGGCAGAAGGAAACAAAACGATTCATTTGTTTTTACAAAAGCAAATCATAGAATCACATATTTCCTTACATTATGCTGTTTTTTTTCCCTCTTGGAAACACTATGTATAATTTAGATATGCCACCATCAAGTTAACTGCACTAGTGAACAGGAGTCTACTCTGTATGCTTAATGCATGCGCCATCTACACATTTGACATTTATTATTGATTACTGAGTAGAGTTACTGTGCTCCATCAACTCAACAGCAGCCAGATGCTAAAAAGCATTTCACTGTTTACTACTCAATCAAATCTCAGTGGGCCCCACATGAGGATCAAGCATTATTTGATATATGGAGGTCTGCACTGGCTTGGCCAGGGTGTGGTTTCTGATTTGATGGTGGCTCAGAGTTCTTCCACCTTTTAAGCAAGTTAATGATGATGAGATTGAATGCCATGCGAGCAATACAATTAGACTAGGAATAAATCTAATGAAATTAAGTTGATTGTCTAAAACTAGACGCTATGCATAAACTATATGCCCAGACCTAGATGGAAAATTTGGCACCTTGTTTAGAGTTGAAAATGCTGGACAAAGCTGATGCAGCATCTGTATGTGTGAGGAGAATGTTGGCTTCGGTAGATTTCCAACATAGCCCCAGCAAAGAAAAGAGAGTTAAGATTTGCCAAGTACCGATATGCAGGGTTCTGTCATGGACAGAAACGCAAGAATGGCAATTTCATGTCTTATACAACCTTTAAAGTGTGTTTGAGAGCTACTATCTTGGCTGTCATACAAGAAATTCTCTAAGAGATCAAAACCCAGTAGCCACGGGGGGAAACTCTTCTCATATCGGGTTTGTTAACTCAGCTTCCTGACTAAGCATAAAAGCAAATTTAGGACAGTGAAGCTTAGTGTGATAGGGAACTTTACACTGTTACCCTGCCAGTGCCTTTCATATCAGTACAGAAAAAAAAGACATGGCTTCATTAAACTCGTCACCAAGCCCCGCCCCCTCTTTCTCTCTCTCATCCATAGTGTAACTAATGCACACTCAGTTGCAAGAGTTACAGTATTGTGCAATAGTAAGACAATATCCTTCATTTATTTACTTTCCAGTCAAAACATCCATTAACAGAGAATTCTAATATGTTTTTTCATTTCTGCATAATTAAGTAGTTAATAATTTGGAATGGTTTTATGTGAAATGCTTCATTATAATAAACCTTTGTGAGTCAAAACTGTTCACAGTGAAGGTGATAGGAACCAGATGTCTGAAGAGTTTAAAGCCTCTAAAAGCCTTTAAAAGCTTAAAGCGCATGTTACCTGATTTTGCATTGCAGACATCGTGACCCTGTGAAGAAATTTGTGAAAGTTTCTCTACAATTAACCATTTTGCATCACAGCACACTGAATGACTTCGTTTACATCTCAACAATTTAATTATGCTGAAAATTTGAAAATCAGTGGAATTCCCCTTTAAGTGAGTTCACTTTTTTGAATATATCTGAGAATGTTAGATATAAAATAATCCACTTGCATAAAAAGGGAAAATCAAAAGAAAATAAATGGAAAAAAGAAGAGCTTCCACCAAAATTGGAGTCGTAGAGAAAATGGGACTACTAGCAACGCTGCAAGAGCTGGAAGACCACCAAAACTGTCTCCATCAGATAAACAGTACTTAAAGCTTTTATCTTTGAGAGAGAGAGTAGAAAATTACTCCACTCTTGCCTTAGATGTGAAAAAATCCACAGGTGTTTCTGTCTGTCCTTCTTAATGCTATGGGCCTGAAAGGATGTGTAGCTGTCAAGAAGCAGTTACTGAGAAAAGGAGATAGACAAAAAAGAACCGGGACTGACCTTAATATCATTAAATGTGTTTGGGATAACTTGGATCATGAGAAGCAGAAAATGCAACCAAATTCTAAGACTGAACTTTGGAGGTGTTGAAAAACATCCCTGAATGCAAGTCTCACAAATAGAATAAAAGCTGTAAAAAAGGCAAAGAATGGACACACTAAATGCTGAGAAATGTCAAATAATATTTAGCTGTTGAGGCTTCTGTGTAATTTTCTGTTAATCATATGTTTTCTGTATTTTCCTGCCATAGCCTTAATGCCTGTTTGACTGGAAGTACCGTAGGTGCATTTTGTAGGTTTACAGTTACTGACTGCAGCCCATCTGTTAATGCACAATTTGTCAGTCACCTTCCACCCTGTCCATAAATGATAAAGGAACATGATAGGACCACCAAAGGACCACCACTGGGCAGATATAGTGACAGCATGTTTTAGGCACTGCTGCAGTTTTTAAACGCTGTGTACACTAACTGGCCACTTTATTACAAACACCTACCACATTGAAACACCTTGTAGGCTTACAGTTAGATACTGCAGCTCATCTTTTTCTATGCACGGTTTGTGTTAGTCATCCTCTAGCCCTTTATCTGTGGTCAGTTCCCATTCAAAGAACCACTGTTGGCTCAGCAGTGACAATGAAGTATTTAAAACTCCCCAGCAACATTGCTGCGCCTGATACACTCATACAAGCGCAATGAGTTTAGATACAAGATAGTTGTATCTGCGCTTATTAGATAAGCTATAAAACTAGCAACTCAGTGTAGATCTTTCAGGCACCTATTGTTTGCCATTAGATTAAGATAATTAACATGTCAACAGGCCAGAACTGGATTGATTAACTTGTGCCCTGTTAGCGTGCTGTGAACACTAATTATTGACAGGGTTTACAAGCTTGTTAGATTTCTATCATAAGACTCAGCGTCTTCTCACAAATTAGATCAGTGACCGTAATGTGTGTGGCAAGTTTGTGCGTGCCTGCATGTGTGCGCATGTGCGTGTTTGTGTTTGTCTGCATGCATTTCC